CGGGGCACGAACCCGCGTCCCCTGCATCGGCAGGCGGACTCTCAACCGCTGCGCCACCAGGGAAGCCCCCGGGGGATCGTTTAAAACCTAACCGTGACCTCTGTCCTCCATCCAGCTCCCCTTCTCCTTACCTGCTCCAGGCCGGTCAGCCGGCTGCTGCCCTGTCTTAAGCCTGCCGGGCCCCCGCTCCACCTCATGGCCATTGTCACAGCCAGGGACACTCTTCCCGCAGCCAGCCCAGGCCTCACTCTTGCACCCGCTTCAAGCCTTGCTCACATGGCACCCTGTCCAGGAGGTCTTCCCTGACCCTCTTGTTTAAGAGAGCAGCCCACCCCTGCGCGCCCCCCTCACGCCTGGCCCGTCAGTCCCCGTTCCCCTGGTCCCGGGCCACTCTATTCCATAGCGTATCACCTTCTAACACACTACACACGCACTGTATTATTTTCCTATGCTGTTTACCATCTCCATTACTCCATGAGGGCAGGATGGCTGTCAGTCTTGTTCACCGATGGATCCCAAGAGCCTTAAACAGGGCCTGGCACATATTAGGTACTCAGTACACACTCATTGTGTGAAATGGGTTCTGTATGTCCAGACACAGCCTTTTCACAACTTCTAGCGTAGCAGGCACTTTAGGATATGCCTTCCTGAGGTGGAAGCCCTTTTTAGAGGCTAAGAAGACAAAAGTGCTTCTCTGAAGAATGCATTTTGAGGGACACAGAGAGACAGGTAGTCAGAAGCACGGTAGAGTCACCAGGCTCTTGGCTGATGCCTGAGTGACACCCACAGAACCACGAGAGATGAGTAGCAGCTGTTCACCCTGCACCCTAGGCCGGTCCTGACACACTGACAGCAGCGTCCCAGGCTCGCACGGTCAGCACTCTCGGCCCTGACGCCCATCTGGGTGTTCCGGGAACCTGGGAAGCGTGGGGCATCCTGCCCATTTGGGCTTTGTGGGACACGGCTGTCTCAGCCTCTCCACCACTCTATTCTCGACCATTTTACCCTCAACTCGGGGGTCCAGGCCTGTCCCTGGTGGCTCAGTGTCCTCTGCAGGTCACCCCTGCTTCTCACGGGGGGAAGCATGTGCACAGGTGGGATCATGGGGCCTGGTGGACCCGGCTTCAAATTCCAGCTCATCATCCCCACCTGGTTAAATCACCTGGCCCTCTCAGAGCCTCAGTCTCTTCATCTATAAAATGGGGATAATGCTGTTGATATCAAAGAGTTGTTCTGAGTATTAAGGAAAACGCCCTGTGTCAGGTGCATAGCACTGTGCCTGGGCACCTGGAGGAAGTCCCACAAATGCTGACTCCCTCCACCCTCCGCCCATGAAGCCTCATCTGGGTAAAGGGACTCCCCTCCTCTCACTGCTCACCTCGCTGTACAGCCTCGTCAACAAGCTTCTTGTGCAAATTTAAGGCTCTCTGGTCGACGACCATGGAGACCCCCTTCTCCCAGGCCTGCAGGAAGGCCCGGCAGGCCATCCGTCTCTTCCGGAGGCTCGTGGTTGAGATGCGCGGGGAAGCAAGTGGTGCGGAGCACGGAGCGGGCGTGGGACGGAGACAGGGAGGCCCGCAGCAGCTCGCCCGCGCGGAGCAGGTGCCCGAGCCCCCGGCTGCCTAAAATTAGGTAAAAACAAAATCAAATGACAAAATCACATAACTGTGTTCCAAGTAGCATCTTATGGGGACAGTAGCTTGGTTTTTTTGTTCGTTTGTTTGTTTTTGTTTCAGAAGTGTATTTGAAGGTGTGGCAGACCCCTCCCGGGCCAGTCGAGAAGGTTCACTGGGTAAGGGGCCCACCAGCCTCTCTTTCAGTTAAGTGTGGCCTCGAGACCAGGTCCTCTCCATGTGACAATCGGAGAGCAGTGGAAAGAGAGTGGGAGTGGTGATGTGGCCTCCCCTGGCCTGGTCGTACACCTCCAGGCTCTACTCCAAGCTCTTCCCTTCCTGGGAGCTGGGCTCTTGACAGCCAGCGCCCCCTGGGGGTCTCACGATGGGATGAGGAGCTGCTGGGTCCCTGAGTGACCGTGAGGGAGCAGATCCCCTTCCTGCAGAGCTAGAACACTCACCCTGGAGGGCCCGCCCTGGACTGTTGTGTGAAAGAGGCACACATTTCTGCTGTATTTGAGCAAAGCCTCTTGGGGGTCATTTGTTAGAGCAGTTTAGCAAGCTCTAACCAATACAGGGAATACAGAAGGAGGAAGGGAAACAGGGCTGTCTTAGCTGGGGATTCCCCCAAAACAGACCCTAAGACAAGGGCTTGGGGGCAGGTATTTCAGTGGAGAGGGAGCCCAGGAAAGAAGTCAGAAGAGGGAGGAAGTGAAAAGCCACGAAAGGATGTGTGAGCGAGCAGGTTAAGTCCGAAGGCAGCGGCGGCTCAATCCTGCTTGAGATCCCCTAAGAAACCAAGCAGTAGCACCTGGGGACTGTCCTGCCAGAGGACAGGGAGACTGAGCCGTATGCACCAGCTCTGCCCCCTACTGGCTGAAGGCTGCCCGTCGGGGCGTTGACTCCCCGGCACTTCTGGGCCGCACCTGCTCTCCTGGAGAAACAGAGAGACCCGAGGCCCAGGTGGGAAGCTGATGTGCTGGGAACCGCCCACTGCAGCTGCAGTGAACCCGGG